GCTGCATGCATTAACATGTAGCATAATTGGTTATTGAAAAAAAAAATTTGATTATTTTATGAGATTACCAACAAAACAATCAAATTTATGAAAAAAAGAAATAAAAGAGACAAAAGTGGAGATCGATGGAAGTAATTAAAACAAAAGAATAAACGATACTCACACTCATAGATCCATCGTTGCCAAAATGTTAGCCCACTTCCACCGCTGAATGCTGTTGGTGTTCGGGTGAATCCATTCAAAAGATCCTTCCATTGTTCATCAATTAAATTTTGATGACGGTAAAGTACATCGAACATGATATCTATACGTATTAAAGTCATACATTAGAACTGTTGTCATTTTAAATGTTTAATTACAGTATAAAATTTCATTTTGCGTAGTTAAACTTCGCATGCTCTTACCAAATCTTTGGGAACTAAAACACCAAGTAAGTAATTGGGATCCTTGTTTTCCGTTTTCGCATAATAGGATTTTGAATGGGGTTTCAGAATAGAGAAAGTTTGTCACCTCCTTATGCCCTCGTCTACATGCAGTTGCTACTGGGATCTGTTGCAGGTTATCTTCCATAGAAAGCAAAGTGGAATCCTTACTAACTAAATATTTTGCAATCTCGGTGCTTCCATACAAAGCAGCATATACTAGAGCTGTATTACCCCATATATCCTTTTGCACTGCAGGCGTACTCTCAAGCAATGCCTTGACAATGTTTGACTTGCCAACAATAGTTGCGTAATGAAGAGTAGGGTGACCAATCCACAATACCAAATTTTCTGCCCGTCGATTTCCCCTAAAAAAGTCCATTACAGTATTAACATCCCCTTCGTCAATTGCATTCTGCAGAATTAGGGACTGCGGCCTTTCTATAGTTTGGAACCCTGCAAGGATTCAATTAAAGCAGATATTGTGTGAGTAAGTTCGATTGAAAAGGGGTTGGAGAATGCCCCTTGTCCCTTAAATAAATTCATTCCTTTTGGCTGATAAAAATAAAAATTTAAATTTAAATGATTTTGAGGCAATATATATTATGATAAACCACATTTGAGACGTAAGTATTTTATTG